CCGGGCGCCTGCCGGTGCGTGTTGGAGAGGATCCCGTGGATCTTCACTTGGCTCCTGTTGGCCGCTGCCATGTCGACCCACAGCCCCCTCAGACGGGCGTCCCCCGGCCCATAGATCCGCGACACGTAGTAGCTGTGGTTGTCCTCCTGCAGCCAGGGGACAGGGGACAGCGTTACCCGGATTGCTCCAGGGACATGCAAACCCCGAGACACGGCTCAGAGCAGCCGGGACCCCATCTCAGCGCAAAGCAACAATAAAACCAGCTGACAAAAACCCCGTGCGAAGCCAGCGAAGGACGCTGAGCGGTTGGAGAAGGTGCAGAGAAGACCCACGAGAGCGATGGAGGGCAGAGAGGACGGACAGGCGGGCGAGAGGGCGACGTGACTCAGGAGGGACCGCGGCGTAGCAGATGCAACCTTCCCGGGAAGAAAATATCCTGCTCTAGAGCCAGGGGCTGAAAGTTACGGCTAAAGTGACCACTGGAAGTGAAGCAAACAACCGGAGACATGGAAGCCCAGAGGAAATGATTAACCTTGGAACGGGCAGCTCGGGGAAGGCGGCCGAGCCGCTGCCGCCAGCCGAGGATGGGGGACGCTGAGGGGGAGCGGGGCTCTGCGGAGGGCGCGGGCTGCAATCCTGGGTGACATCCCTGGAGCCCCCTTTGCTATTCTCCCCCAGAGCAAGGAGGGGGACCCCGGGCATCCCCCCCTCAGCCTTCCCAAACCACCAGCAGCACCCTAAGCTCCCCAAGCCCCCTCTCCCGGCACGCCGGAGCGTGGACCACACAGCAGCTCTGCGTGGTCCGTCCATCTCAGCCCTCTCAGACCGGTCAGGGACCTGTCGGGGGATGCACATCCCCACCGGGCACCTGCACATGCGGCTCTGCGGCATCTCCCGGGGGACACCGGCAGAGCAGGCGATTTCCCAAGGCACAGCCCGTGCCCTGACCACGCCGACCACATCGTGCCTCGCTGACGGGCTCCGGCGTGCAGCCACCCGGG